CTGGTCTCTAAATTGCATCTGTCCTGGGACTTCTTCACCCTCACGTGAGGGAAGTCACAGAGAAACTCAGCTTAGCTCAAAGCTGCTCAGATCCAAGATGGTGCAGAGAAAAGAGGAATAGAGTGACATGTGCTGCTGTACACTCCTTTCCCCAAAAGCCAACTCCTCCCAGACCTTCTATGCTGAGAGCCAGAGTCCTTGTAGAACTTTTGAGCTCCTGGCCTCGGGAGAGCTGAGTTTCTAGAGGACAGAAATCTGGCCTTCAGTGATGCAGCCTGATGCATATCTAGCTCTGATTGATATAGGAGACTACGTGGAATTAAAAGGCACAATATAATCTCCCAATTAAGTGACAGAATGGAGAAGGAAGTCACTATGAGGTGGCATTGTGGGCTATGTGGAAGTGGAGTCGGCTGTGCTCTTGAAAGTCTAATAGGACAGAGATAGGCAAAGGAGGGGAAGCTGTTTTGTCCCAATGTAACAGCTGTCTTTGCTCCAGCCCAGGAAGCCACCAGACCAAGTTATCAGAAATTTAACTGTCAGGTTGAAAGAGGCTACACCAGGAATCTGCTGAATCATAATCAAGACTAACCATGGCCCATTGTTCAAACTCATTTCCTTTTCAGCTGTTCACCCATTATGTTACATGTGTGTGAAGAAAATAATTTATTTCATGGTTGCTTAAATCTGGAGTTCTGTTTGGTTTATTTCAACAAGTTACTAACTACTTTCTTTCCTGATTCAAATTACTCTGAAGCAGCTCAGCGATTGCTGGTTTACTTTAATGCTTGCAAGAAAAAAAACTATCTTAGGATCCTATAAAAGTTGGCCCACCTCACTGTAATGCATCAAGTATCAGAAATAAATTTTTTAAAAGATTTATTTATTGGACCTCCCTGGTGGCACAGCAGTTGAACGCTGGGTTGCAAGGCTGCCTGCAGCCTCTACAGCGCTGGTTCAATCCCCGGCCTTCGGGCGAGGGTCCCACATGGCGTGCAGACCTCTCCTGCCGCCCACTGCTCCCCTCAGCAGTGTACTTCGTCAGTCTGCCTGTTCTGCTCCCCGCTCTGGCTCTGGTGAATTCTCTCACCCTCCCGCGCGTCTGACTGTACCCAGTGTATGTATAAATAAATAAATCTTTTTTAAATATACAAGAACCAGGGTACAGGCCAGATGTGCGGGAGGGTGGGAGGATTCACCAGAGACAGCGGGGAACAGGACAGGCAGACTGACGAAATACACTGCTGAGGGGTTCAGTGGGCGAGACAGGAGAGGTCTGCTTCACCATGTGGGATTCTCGCCCTGCGGCCGGGGAGCGAAGCAGTGCTGTAGAGGCTGTGGACAGCTTCACAGTGAGGCACTCAACCACCTGCACCACCAGGGAGGCCCAGAAATAAAAAATTTTGGAGAATCCTATATGAAATTCTGAAGCCCACAGGAGCAGATGACCTATTTCCTCCACTCTCATCCTACTCACTTTTGCTTATGGAGAAGATGTTAGAATAAAAGTGGGCAGGGTTTATATCCTGCAGAATCTCCCATGGTAGAGTTCTCAACCTCTGTCACCAGTGTCCTGTGCTGAGCAATGAGAGGCCATGTTGATGGATAGGTACGAAAAGCACAAGGAAATTAACCATCTTGCCTTTGCATCCTGGTAGGGGATTTTGCTTTGGGGAGTCATTTGGATGTTTTTGGCTTTTATTTTTATTTTTTTTTTAATATATATTTTTTTAATAGAGGCATGTTATTTATTTGTTTGTTTGTTTTTTGTTTATACATGCACTGGGTACAGTCAGAAGCACGGGAGGGTGAAAGAATTCACCAGAGCCAGAGCGGGGAACAGAACAGGCAGAAGGACCGAAGTACACTGCTGAGGGGAGCAGCGGGCGGCAGGAGAGGTCTGCGCGCCATGTGGGACCCTCCTCCAGTGGCCAGGGAGCAGCCGGGGATTGAACTGGCGCTGCAGAGGCCGCGTGCAGCTTCGCAACCCAGCGCTCAACCTCTGCGCCACCGGGGAGGCCCTGTTTTTGGCTTTTAATGAAACGCAGAATAGGTTATTGAGATTGAAAATGAAGGGAGGAAAGAACCAAACTGTCCTCACGCACAAACTCAGCTTTATTAAGATATAACTGATATATAGCATTGTGTAAATTTAAGGTGTACAGCATGCTGAGTCAATATACTTATATATTGCAAACAGATTACCACCACGGTGTTAACTCATACTTCCACCAAAAGGGTTATAATTCTTGTTTAGTGGCTATTGATATTCTGTGGGTCTCCAGAGGAATGAGTGCTTTCACGGTGGAGGACCTGCATTGCAAAAGAGGAAGATCATCCCTATGTGTTCATCTGGGGAGATCTCCAGGGTATATTGTTAACTGAAAAAACAAAGTAAAGGGCCTCCCTGGTGGCGCAAGGGGTTAAGCACCGCACTATGAAGCAATCCGCAGCCTCTGCAGCATGAGTTCGATCCCCAGCCAGCCAGGAGAAACCTGCATGGCAAGGCAGACCTCTCCTATCTCACCCACTGCTCCCCTCAGCAGTGTATTTCAGTCAATCTGCCTGTTCTGTTCCCCGCTCTCTCTCTGGTGGAGCCTCTCACCCACCCCCCAGCCCCCGCATGTCTGGCCTGTGCCTCAGCTCTTGTATGCATAAATAAATAAATCTTAAAAAAAAACAAAGTAAAGATTAATATATGTGTACATTATATAGTCTATTGTATGTATACTATATATACATATATGAAGTATACGTATACATATATACATTATATACATTGTGTATATATACAAAAAACTAGATTTTTTGAAAAATAGGGTAGCTATAAGATGATACATTTGCATTTGCTTACAATGCATAAATATTTAACAGAAAAGTTTCCTATAAACTCTTTATGTGTTTACCTGGGGATTAAGTAAAGGGGATCAAGAATGGAATCAAGGCACTTCTCTTAATGTGCGTTTTCATTTTTGACTTTTTTTTTTTTTAAAGATTTATTTATTTATTATTTATACAAGCCTGGGTACAGTCAGAAGCGCGGGAGGGTGAGAGAATTCACCAGAGCCAGAGCGGGGAGCAGAGCAGGCAGAAGGACCGAAGCACACTGCTGAGGGGAGCAGCAGGCAGCAGGAGGGGTCTGCGCGCCATGTAGGACCCTCTGGTGGCCGGGGAGCAGCCGGGGATCGAACTGGCGCTGCAGAGGCTGCAGGCAGCTTCGCAACCCAGCGCTCAACCACTGCGCCACCGGGAAGGCCCTCAAATTTGACTTTTTAAATTTAAAACACACATGAAATTTTCCATGTTAACCACCTCAAAGTATGCAGTTCAAGACGTTAATTACACTCACAATATTGTACTACCATCATAACTATCTAGTTCCAGACTGTCTTCATCACTCCGTCATCAGCTCCATACCCACCTTAAGTAGTCACTCCTCATCTTAGCTCTAAAGAACCACAAACCTATTTTCTATCTCTGAATTTACTTATTCTGAACATTTCAAATAAATTGAATTCATATAGTATGTAGTCTTTCATGTCTGACTTCCATAATGTTTTCAAGGTTCACAGTTTAATGTTTTCATGTAGAAGCTCTTGGGGTATATACTTAGGAATGAATTTCAGGATCATAATATAAATCTGTTTAACTTGTTGAGGATCCTCCATCCTGGTTTCCTAAGAGGGAATATATGCATTCATACCAGAAATCCACAAGGGTTCTACTTCTACCACATCTTTGCCAACACTTATTAATTTCCTTTTTTTTTTTCAATTATACACACAATATTGTGTATGAGGTGGTATCTCATTGTGGTTTTGATTTGAATTTCCCTAATGACTAATGTTGCTGAGTATATTTTCATGTACTTGTTGATATATCTGCTTTGAAGAAATGTCTGTTCAAGTTCTTTGTCCATTTTTTATTTTGTTGTCTTTTTATTGCTGAATTGTAGGAGTGTTTCATGTGATCTGGATACTGGACTCATTAAATATATGATTTGCAAGTATCTTATCCCATTTTATGGGTTGTCTTTTCATTTTCAATAGTAGTCTTTGATGCACAGAATTATTTTTGATAAGTCCAGTATGCCTGTTTATTCTTTTGTTACTTGTGTTTTTGATGTCACCTCTAGGAATGCCTTACCACATCTGACATAATAAATATTTAGCCACGTGTTTTCTTCTTAGCGTTTTATATTTTTTTTAAGAATTTTATATTTTGGGTTCATATGTTTAGTTCTTGGATTGATTTCTAGTTAAATTTTGTATACATTGTGATGTAAGGGTCTTACTAACTGATATTCAGCATCATTTATTGAAGAAACTGTTCTTTTCCCCTGTTGAATGGTCCCATCATCCTTGCTGAAGATCAGTTGACCATAGATGTTTTGGTTTATTATGGACTCTCAATTCTATTCCATTGATCTCTCTGTCCATCTTTATTTCAGTGCCACATAAACTATTACAGCTTTGTAGTAAGTTTGAGCATCAAGAAATGATAGTTCTCCAACTTTTTCTTTTTTCTAACGTTGATTTAGCTATTTTAGGGCCCCTAACCATTCCAAATATTTTAGAATCAGCTTTTCCATTTCTTCAAAAAAAATGGGATATTAATAGGAATCACATTGAATCTGTTTATCACTTTGCTGAACATTACCACTTTAACACTATTCTGTCTTCCAATTCATTAAGATAAAATGTCTTTTTAATTCATTTAGGTACACTTAAAATTCTTTTAGCAATGTTTTAATATTTTTATTGTATAAGTCTTTTCCCTTATTTAAATTTAATATTATGTATTTTATTTTTGATGCCTTATAAATAGAATTGTTTTAATTTCATTTTCAGATTTATTGCTACAATATAGAAATATATATATATTTTTGTCTGCTAGATTATATTGCTTACAATTTTATTGAATTTTTTGTGAATTATTTAGGATTTTCTTACATAAGATCATACCTTATGTTAATATCATTTTACTTCTTCCTTTTTCAGATATTTTCTAGTATCGTCTTCTTGACCGATTGCTCTCACTAGCGATCCCATTAAATGGTGGAATAAACGTGGCAAGAGTGAGTATCTTTATCTTGTTCCTGATCTGATTGGGAAAATTGTTCAGTCTGTTTTTCATTGAAGATATTTGCTGTGGATTTTTTCATATATGTTTTTTATCACATTGGAGAAATTCTCTTCTATTTCCTGGTTGTTAGATGTTTTCATTATGAAGTGGTTTTGGATTTTGTCAAAGGTTTTTGCATGGTTCCCCACTCCCCCTTCATTCCAATAATGTGGTGTATTTCATTGATTTCTCATATATGGAACCACCCTTACATTGTTGGATAAATCCCATTTGGTCTTAGTGTATAATTCTTTTATAGCAGCAGTGTACTGCTGCATTCAGTTTGTTAGTATTTCACTGAGGATTTTTTGCACCTATATGTTCATAAGAGCAATTGTTCTGTTTTCTTGTTATGTCTTAGTCTGACTTTGGTATCAGGAGAATGTTGAATGAACATTATGAATAATGTTCTCTGTGGGTTAAATGAATTAGCTAGTACTTCCTCCTCTTAAGTTGTTTAGAAGAGTTTGGGAAGAAATAGTGTTTAGTAGAATTCATCAGTGAAGCCATTTGGTCTCCTGGGGTTATCTTTGTCAGGAGGTTATTGAAGACTGATTGAATCTCTACTTAGATAGATCTCCTATGTTACCACTCAACCTTGATAGAGTTCCAAATGAGGCAGGAAATAAAAGGAAAGATCCTTGCATCAATTCTTTGGAGAAACTCCAGTCAGGTCAAAGCAAACACAATTCCTTAGGAACAAGATCTTCTCTCTTCCCCTTGAAATCTGTTACCCACACAGAAAATGTAACCTGCTGTCTTTAAGACCACTGTGAGCTTGGGGAGAGTGGTGAGGCTGGGATAGATAAATCCCGTAATAGCCATCTTTCAATGACCTCATCTATGTTAAATATTCACTCGGTTAATGTAAACCTTTGATTCCCTCCCAAAGTTCACTAAGACTGACTGATAATTTTCTCCAGATTTTTTTTTTTTTTTTTTTTTTTTGGTGTTTCTTGTAAGAGACAGAACCCATGAGTTCCCTACTCTATCATTTTCACTGATTTCCCATACTGGCCATATAAACTACACACTCACTGAAAAGTTGAGTTATTTTCTTTTCTTTTCATTTTTTTAAATAATAAACTTTATTTTTATATTCCCCATACAATTGTAACCCCCTTATTTTGACCCCAATCCCTCCCCTCCCGCCCCCTTCCCCCCATAGAGTGTCTCTGGTTCATAGTTTTTTGTTGATTTTGATTTTCACTTTCTTATAGTTATTCATTTTCCTGGTCCCTTATTTAAGTTTTCTAGATTCCTGCTATGAGTGAGACCATCCGCTATTTTTCTTTTTCTTTCTGGCTTATTTCGCTGAGCATGATCCCTTCCAGCGCCATCCATGTTGCTGCAAATTGCATGTGTTTATAAAAAGTGAGTTATTTTCAACTTCCAACTTCATTTTTTCCCTTCTGTGGTTCTATAGCCCTCCTATTCCTTTCCTATGGCACTGTGCTTTCTAGGCCTATAATATTTTACATGTGCCTCTGAATGGTGCTTGGGGAAGTGACTTCAAAGTCAGGAATATCTGGGTTTGGAAACTGGCTTTCTCAGTTACTGACTGTAGAACCCCAGCCCTGTCACTGCATCTCTTGGGGCTTCAGTTTTCCTGAGTTCCAGTGCACTAATGGTTCACAGGGCAGTAATGCAACTTTGCTGCGAGCATCAGAGGCAAAATATGTAAACTACCTACCGCCTGGCGCATTGGCCGCAACAAATGGAGTTGTATTGGAGATACTTCCTCTGTCCTACTGGTCTTAACCTCCTTTATCCTTTTTCAAAGCATCTTTGCCTTCATTATCTCATGTAATCTTCCCCACAAGGGAGGTAGGCTAGAAGTTATCTCTGGGTCACAGAAGAGCAAGCTGAAGTGCCAGACAGTTAATGGGATGGATTCAAGAGATGATTATGCATTCCCTTCATAAAACATGCTTATAAAGGGAAAAATCCTAAGCAGCAATTTAATTGGGGAAAAGTACAACACCACCAACAACACACTAGGCTAAAAGCATTCATCCACTTTGGTAGCTTTGAAAATGTGAGCAAAGTCACACGGGGAAAATATGTGTTTAGCATCTAAAACTCATGTTGCCAAGCAAAGGTGAAAGGTGCCATTGCTTCTGGGTGGAGGCATGGTGAGTGATGGTTCTTTTTCTTTTCTTGATTTCTTCCATTTAATCTTGCCTTAGATCTTTCCTTATTAAATAAAATCTGAGATGTCAGAGATGAGATAGCATATGTAAGCATATTCACATGTAAATCTGTATGACTTTCCATAAATGTAATGCTACATTTGTTTTTTTTTGTTTGTTTTTTCTAAATGGAAATTGCAAATCATCCCTGATTTGGACACTCCCTATGGACAAGAAACAAGAACCCCATATTTAGTTGGATAACTTCATTTCTCCAGTTTAGAATACCTGCTGAGCAATTGGTATCTAGAGGATTGACATAGGGTTATATTTTGCTGCATATTAAAATTGCCTGGGAAGATTTTAAAATCCTGCTATCTAGTTCTCATACTAGATGAAGTGAATTGTCATCTTTAGGATGGAAAACAAATTCCATTTCTTTTAAAACTTCCCAAATCACTCCAGTGCACAGCCAAGCCAGTGGTGTTAGAGAGGTGTTTTAGATGCAACAGGTCAGCAATGGGGCCTAGAATTCTGCATGTCTACCCAGCTAGTTTCATGGTGATGCTGGTTCTCTTGGTCCTTAGACCACAATGACTGAGTAACAAAGCTACAAAGAAATTCCTTTGTCTTCATTTTAGAGGTGTAACACATGGGTTACATAATCACTTTAATGGCCTGCTTTATTAGTTATAGAAATGAACATTTGGGCCAGATTATCTCTGAACTTTGCCACTCCAAACCTGTATGCTTTATTAAATGCAGAGATTGAGTTCATAGATCTAGGCTGGAGATTTATTGAATGTTTGCAATATCCCAGATGCTATTCTGATATTTTAATAATCTAGAATTATTGCATCTTTGAAGTAATTCTGTGTGGTAAGGACTAATATTATTCCCAATTAACAGGTGAGAAAATTGATAAAGAAGGTAAATAATTGACCAAGGTCATAGTGTTAGGAAATTGCCGGCAAGGGAATCTTGTGTGAGGAAATTCAACACAGTTAGATAGTGAGGTCCTTCCCTGTAAGTGTTTCTGATTAGTATAAGGAAAGAAAAGCAAAAATATTTTTTTTTTTAAAATCCCAGAAACCAAGAAGCTGTCAGCTCCAGAGGCTGATATCAGATCTGATTTTGATCCAGCTAGTTCTCCTGCAGGTGGCTCTATCTCACACCTTAACTCTCTTTTATAGGTTGGCAGAGTCAGCAAATTAGCTGATTGTACTTTTAAAAGTACAGTCTCTTAAATACTCCTCCCCTATATTTTAATTCCTTGGGTCAAACAATAGTTCCAAGAATCTGCACTTTATTTTTTTTTATTTTTTTTTTAATCGAGGCATGTTTTATTTATTTATTCATTTGTTTGTTTGTTTTTGTTTATACATGCACTGGGTACAGTCAGAAGTGCGGGAGGGTGGGAGAACTCACCAGAGCCAGAGCGGGGAGCAGAGCAGGCAGAAGGACCAAAGTACACTGCTGAGGGGAGCAGCGGACGGCAGGAGAGGTCTCCGCGCCATGTGGGACCCTCCTCTGGTGGCCGGGGAGCAGCCGGGGATCGAACCGGCGCCGGAGAGGCCGCGGGCATCTTTGCAACCCAGCGCTCAACCGCTGCGCCACCGGGGAGGCCCCCAAGAATCTGCACTTTAACAAGCATCTTCCATCCCAAAAGATTCTGATACACAGTCAAGTTTGAGGACCATTAGAATCTACTATATATAATTACTGAGTACTAGAAAATTTAATAGCAAATGAAACAGATAAAAATCCTTTTCATCATGGGGCTTATATTCTTCTGTATCAGAACAAGACAGAGACAATGAGGGGAAAGCAACAAAGGAGGTTGGGAGGGTTTCAACTTTAAACACAGTGACCAGAGAAGGCGTCATTGGGAAATGACATTTGAGTGAAGATTAAAGAAGGAAGACAGTTAAGCAGAGACCTTGGAAAGGGTACTCCTGGCAGAGGGACTAACTAGTACAAAGAGTCTGAAATGGGAGTATGCTTGGGACATGCAAAGAATAACATGAAGAACAGAGTAAGTGAATAGGGAGGGAAAGGAAATTGAATCCAAGAAGTATCAGAGGACATATCATCTAGAAGTTTGTAGGCCACTGAAAAGTCTTTTACTCTGGGCTTTTACTATGAGAGGGAAAACCCCTGGAAGATTTTTAGAGGAGCCACCTAAACTGCCTTAAAGTTTCCCATGTTTGCTGGATTGATAACAGACCATAAGAGCATAAAGGCAGAAACCTAGAGACCAGTTAGGAGACTATTGCAATTATTGAGTTGAGAAATCAGGGTGGTGGTAGCAAAGGTACTGAGAAATTAATATATTCTGAATAGATTTGGAAAAGTAAAAAAATAGGATTTGCTGAAAGGATTAGGATTTAGATTGAGAAAGAGAAAAGTCAAAAACCTTAGATTAAAATATATTCAATCATTAATTCATTACAAACATATATATTGGGCAGTGTGCTCTGCACAGTTATATGCAGGTCCCTGTGTAAAGTCTTGGGGGTACCTTGGTAAACTAGACACATCTTCCTGCCGGAGCTTACATTATAGTAGCATCAGGACAACAGGAACCCCTAACTCTGGGTTGTTGTGACATGAGATGCTTAAATCAAAACCTGGCACATGGAAGGGTTCAACACCTGATAGGTATTACTATTACACAGCATACTTAGCAAAACAGTAATACATTTTGATAACAAGAACAAATAATAAGAACATAGGTTAGAACCAATGAAATGCAAATGATAGGAGTAATCAAGATGGTCTGGTATGGGGAATTAAGAAGGTTCATATCCCTGT